CTCTCTCAGACACCCTCATCCTCCACCATCAGTCTGTTTCACTCCCCCATCCTCCACCATCAGTCTCTCACACTCCCCGACCAGTCTCTCTCAGGTACCCGCTACTCCTCCTTCCTCTCCAGGAGGTGCCGACATTGAACCAGCTGTGGACACGCGGCCAGCAGGTCATTCTGTCCTACGAGGAGGCGAGTGTCGTGAGCCGGCACAGGGAGCTGTGGCCTGGGATCCCCTACTGGTGGGGGGACCAGGTGAAACCCCAGGAGCTCATCCACTACCTGGAGCACATGAAGAGGTGTGGCCGCCCAGGTGAGCAGTGTGGGTCGGTCACACATGGCACCTGCAGGGCTCACACACACGTTATCGCTCACGGGTTTGCTTTCGGCTCTTAGGGAAGAACTTTAGAAGTCATGTAGCGTGTGTGTGTGCGCGCGTAACACGTATGGACTCGTGTGTGGCTGTGTGCGCACGTGTCTGTACGTGGGTACGTGTACATGTGTGCACAGATGCACAGATGCACAGAGGAACAGAGAAGTCCATACACACGACGCGGTTTGAAGTGTTGGGGTTCTGAGCCGATGGCCAAGAAAGAAAGGATTGTTGCGCTATCTTGGGTGCAAACAGGTGCTTTTATTACAGCGGGGGGGACAGGACTGTGGGCGGAACGGGGTTGTGAGGGGTGACTGATACTTGGGAGGTGGGGGAGGTGAAGGGACGAAAGTTCCGGAAGGATTTCATATGCTAACGAGGACTCCGGAGGCTGGAGGCCTGGCTATTGTCAAGCTAAGGTCATTTCCCCTCTAGCAACGCATGAACTTTAAGAGGGTAGGGAGTTGCTGGAGAGATGTTTCCCTCTGAGGGTGTCAAGGGTTCGCCAGTGGCCGCAGGTTATAAGGACATTTAATGAATTTAATGAATGGGGGAGGGTCAGAGGGAGGGAGACACAGAACCCAAAACAGGCTCCAGGCTCTGAGCTGTCGGCACAGCACGGGAGCCCGATGCGGGGCTCGAACTCACGGGCTGAGGGGATTCTCAGTCTCTCTCCCTGTGCCCCCTCCCCCCAACTCTCTCTCTCAATCTAGAGGTAAAAATAGAAACAAACAAAACCAAAAAACTAAAAAAAAAAAAAAAAAAATTAGTATTTACAAAGACGTGTTGTTGAAACATAATTTTTCCCTGCAATTACCCTCATTTGGAGAAGTAGCCAAGTCAAGACTCCTCTGTTTGTAAACTGAATCCAGTGCTAATAAACTTGGCCTAATTATTTACATCACCTCAGCAGGAATGGTGATAAGCCATACAGATTTTTCAAAATTTGCTTTGCAAATTTCGTAAGGAATCTCTCAACTGAGCCAAGCGTAGCCTCTCCAGGCCAGAAGCCAAGGCAAGTACTTCCATCAGACCTGCCTGCTGTACCTGTAGAATGGGGCCAACTCCTGGTCACGAGGTCCCCAAATATCCTGAGGTTGCTGCACCTGCCAGGAAGTGACCTGTACTCGCCTGGTGAGGCTGCTGGGAGCTCTGTGAGCAGGTACCCAGCCAACGTTTCCAAGGGGCTCGATGGCTCCGTGTTTCGTGAAGTCAGCCTTAGTTCCTTAGAGCTGTCTGGTCATATGTGAGTCTACACAGGTCACTCACAAATAGGACATTCCAGAAACTTCAGGAATTTCGGGGCACCTGGGTGGCTAAGTCATTTCGGTCGGATGAGTGTCGACTCTTGATTTCGACCCTCCCCTGCTCAAGCTCGCTGGTGCAAAAAGAAAATAAACTTAAAAAAAAAAAAAGACACACTTTAGGAATTGCATAGTCTCCAGAATAGTTCTAGCATTTGCCCTAAGACCTATTATTTATTTAGTGATGCTTCCTGAGTCACCTAACGTACCAAAGAAGCAAATCTAATTGGTCAAAAAGACTTTATTTACAATTTAAATCTTGGGGAAGTTTGTTTAAAAAGCCTTAAAGAAGTTACAAAGCACGCGCCTTAATAGGATTACCTACCATCACAAAGTTATTTATTTAACCAAGGAGGCAATAAAAGATTCCAAAGGCAAGTGTGTAGGGTTATACAGTTATTAGCAAAACTTAGCTCTTTTAACAGTGAGACTTAAGTAATCAAAGACCTGATAAACAAAAAATGTAGAAACTGGCTTTCTTGGCAGGTAACAGAGAAAAAAACCCTTTGTTTACATGTTCTTATCAAAAGCAGGCTAACAATCAAAAAAAAAGTCCTTTTTTATAACAGAGAAATCAGACTTCCAAACTTATACCAGTGTACTTTTAAAATCCCCTCATTATGGGGCGCCTGGGTGGCTCAGTTGGTTGAGAATCCAACTCTCGGTTTCAACTCACGTCATGATCTGACAGTTTGTGAGTTTGAGCCCCACATGGGGCTCTGTGCTGACAGTGTGGAGCGTCTCTCTCTCTCTCTCTCTCTCTCTCTCTCTCTCAAAATAAATACACATTAAAAAATCCATGCATTTCCACTTTAGTCCTGACCACACACAAAATTCCTTTCCAAAGATTTCCCTTCTTAAACCCCCTACACCTTTTTTTTTCATTCAGTGTTGTTTCCCGTATTTCCATCAGGGTTAATTACATTTAGCAGCATTTTCAAAAATGTTTATTTATTTTTGAGAAGGACTGTGAGTGGGGGAGGGACAGAGAGAGAGAGGAAGACAGAGGATGTGAAGCCGGCTCCAGGGTTAGACCCACGAACCGCGCGATCATGACCCGAGCCGAAGCCAGACGCCTAACCGACTGAGCCACCCGGGCACCCCATTTAGCAGAATGTTTCGTGTTAGAAACCTTAGTCTCCAGTGGAAATTAACTGGTAACCAATTGTAAACTGTTCAGCCAGAAGTCTCTAGATGGCAGATTTATGAATCTAAAATTTAAAGCACAAATTAAATGAAAACGTTTAAGCAGAAAGCATGTTTTCGAGCAGATTTAAATGCCCTGAGCTTCTCTGCAGTAAGAAGCCGAAAAACCACCAACCTACGTTCAGTAATCAATCCATGCTTCAGGGCCACGTCCTATTAGGGAAAGGTCTGGATGTCCAAGGAATTCAGTGCCATTTGTCATCGCAGCAAAGCTTTAAAAGTCTTGGGTCACCACAGACTTTGCAAGCTATGTTAAGAACACCCGTGAAAACTGAGAAATCAAGCATCATTTTAGGTCGTCTTTTTGCTGACCGGTTGCGACAGAGATAACACGACCTGACCTCACCTTTAGTGAGCCCGAATAGAATAGCAGCGTGGTATTTAAGGCTCGTGAGTCTAAAGACAGCTGCATCTTAAGTAAACCGACAAATCTAAATTAGCTTAAACACCGAATTATATCCTGCTTGGGTCCATTTGAAAGCCAGTGAGCTTGTTCCCCACGGTCAGTTTTTCGGGGATGCGGGCAGGGATCTCTGAAGTGGGCGCTGTGAGTCCGGGGCCGGTGTTTGCTCCTTGCGGGGAGGGGATGGGGAGCCCGGGCTCTGAGCTGGGCCAGGAACCGGTGCTGGGCCAGCAACGGGACCAGCCAAGGTGGTGCAAGGTGCAAAATAAGGAGGAGAGGCAAAAGAGGAGAGACGTCCCAGAAGGCACAGAAAGGGCTTCCCGATGGATTCTAAGCCTCCTAGACTCGGACAGATGAGCAGACGCCGTGGGGTTTTCCACCACAGTGGACGCGTGCTGTTTTCATAGCTGCTTGGGAACATTCCAGAAAGTCCCCGTCCCGAGGCCGACTAACCACAGCTGGCTCCGATGATCGCGGCCGTTAGCCCGGGAAATGACTTCGGGAGAAGCCCCTGCATCTATTTGACGAGGAACAGACAGGGTCAGCGTCCCCTTCGCTAGGACGGCCCGGGTGCCATCAAGAGGACGCCTGTCTACATAATGATCGCAAGGGAGTTTGCTGGCCTGGGCCAGACACATCCTGCCAGAGCCGCTTAGGTCCGGGCTGATGTGGAAAATGTTGGGGTTCGGAGCCGGCAGCCCAGCAAGCATTCTCGAGACGTTTCTGGTGCAACAGGCGGCTTTATCAAAGCGCAGGGACCGGGCCGTGGGCCGGAAGTGCTGCTCTGGGATGGAGGAGAGGCTGGTTATACACTCGTGTGAGCTGGGGGCGGTGAGGTCAAGGGAGCGCCCAGAAGGACCTTCGTATGCTAAGGAAGATCAGGGATCCTCAGGGATCCTGGAGGCCCGGCTGGCGGCTGGCGTCAGGCTGCCGGTGTTTTTCCCTCTAGCGAAGCCTGAACGTTAGGACAGAGGACGTTCCCGGAGAAATCGCGGACTCGCGAGCGCTGTCCAGTGATCGTCAGTGGGCTGCAGCTTGTAAGAAATTCCATTGTGTCTGCGTTTCCTTTTTGCTTTAATTCCCCGCATCACGTACACACGCACGACGCACGTACGCACATCCACGAGACATCTACGTGTGTGTACATACGTGGACACGCACCTGTGGTATCGCTAGCGAGGTGCGGAGACTCGGGTCTACAGCCTGCCCCAGCTCTGCGCTGCAGGTGTGCGACACGCGTCGTGGGCAGTGTGCTGTGCTAGCGCCCACACGCGCGGTACAGACTCCCACGCGTGCTGCACGCACGCCCACACGCACTCCACACACTTCACAAGCATCCACACGCACTCACACGCTCTACGTGCACCCCACGAGGTCTACACGCACCCACACGCGTGCCACACGCACCCACACACGCTCTAGACGCACCCATGCGCTCCACACGCAGTCTACACGCACCCACAGGTCTAAATGCACCCACACGCGCTCTGCACACACCACGCACACACGCACTCTACACACACCACGCACCCACACGCTCTCCACACGCACCTACACACGCTTCACACACACCCACATGTCCTCTACACACACCCACAGACGCTCTAGACGCACCCACACGTCTACACGCACCCACACGTGCTCTACACACACACAGGCTCCACACACACCCACACGCGCTCCGAGCATGCCTCCTGCTCGCCCTGTCACGCCTCTGTGTGCTCACAAACCTGTTTCAGAAGACATGTTGTAACCCGAGAGACGGACATAAGGCCCGGCCCCAAGGCCACCCGAGAAGCAGGTTGTGACGTGGTATCTCGCACTCTCGTGTTTCTCCGCTTGACAAGCGTGCACTCTGAGGGTTAGAAGGAAAACCGTCGGGGAGACACCAAAAGTCTGACTGTGGCCGCCTGCCAACTCGCCTGTGGTGGGAGTGGGGGGCTCTCAGACCTTTGTCCAGGGGTTCCCACCCACACAGGTGCTGAGCCCCTCCCAGAGATTCTGCGATGTGTCTGAGGATTCTGGGCCACCCCCCGCCCCCGAAATCCACTGGCTGACACGCGGTGTGTGAGTGTCCATTTGCCGCTGTGACAAATAGTGGTTACTGTGTCCACCACACAGGAGTGGGACATACACGTCGCTGGGGACATTATTCCGTCCAGCACGTGGGACATCTCTGGGGACATTCGTGTGTCCGCCGCTCAGGGTCAAGGGGTGGACGTCTGTGGGGACATCAGTGTGTCCGTCATGTGGGGGGTCGGGGCATGGTCATCTCTGGGGATGTTATTCCGTCCACCACACGGGAATCAAGACATGCACATCCCTGCAGACATTATCTGTCCCCATGCTGGGTGGCAGGAGTCTGGCACTGATGTGGACACGTGTGTCCCCGCCGTCGGAACCCTAATCTGCACGCGGCTCTGAGAGTCTGTGCTCAGAAGTGTGTGGACACGAGGGCGGGGGAGCCTGACGGCCGTGGCACCAGCTTCCTCTCCTTCCTGTTCCAGGTGGGCTGTTCGTGGCGGGCATCAACCTGACAGAGAACCTGACGTACATCCTGGCGCACCTGTCCGAGTCCTTGGAGAAGATGACGCTCCCCAACCTGCCGTACCTGCGCGCGTGGGTGCGTGAGCAGTGCCCTGGGCCGGGCATGCGGTGCACCAACATCATCGCGGGGGACTTCATCGGGGTGGACACGTTTGTCAGCGACGTCATCAGGCTCAACGACAAGCTGCTGCGATGCTGACACGGAGCACGGGCACGGGGGGGGGAGGGGTCGCGGGGCAGGGTCCACCTTCCCCCATCCACGGAGCGCCCCCCGCGGGTGACACCCAGCCTCGCGGCTCCTGGGGGCGGGAGTGGAAAGCACACACTGGTGATCGGCAGAGACGTGTGGTCGAATCCTCAGAGGAAGAAGGACCCGGAACCCGGGATCTGCTTCTTCAGGTTTAGCAGCAGCTGTGGCTTCCGTGGGCGGGTGCCGTGGCTGCCGTGGGGCAACCCCTCGCCTGGGGCTGTGGCAGCGGCAGGATGACCTAGGACACTTTCCCAGAGCTGCATAAAGCCCAAAAGTACCGGGTCTGTGGGGTAGGGACTGGGCATGTCCGATCCACAGAGAAAACCACTAAAACGGGGAAGAGATACTGTTGTGTCCAATGAAGCCACCGCACGTGTGCTTGTCCCCAGGCCACGGTTCCTGGGGCTGCTTCTCTGGCTTTTCCGACAGGGATGGAAGGACCAGAGGGCCCTCGAAGGAGGTGTTTGGCCCTCACTCCCTCACTTCCCAGACGCCTCCCTGGCGCTCTCTTTGAGCCAGTGTGGGCCCGCACGCGTGACGGGCAGCTGGGTGCCCACCCTGGGCGCGGCCGTGGCATCCCGGAGCCCACTGGGAGGCCACCTTCAGGCATCCCCGGAAATTAGGCCAAGCGGTGCTGGGGTTTCCCCTCTCTGGCACACGTGCCACTCCTGTCCCAGGACCACGTTGGGCAGTGGTCAGTTTTCCAACATCCTTGTTCTGTGGTTTCTTAGGGTCTGTCTGTCCGTCTGTCTGTCTGTCTGTATTTGCCCAAGATGCGAACTCTGTTTTGTTCTTTTCTCTGTTCGTGGTGCTCTGGCATCCGGGGGCCTTGCGGCTCCCCCCCTCAGGGCTAGCGGATTCCTAATCAGAGACGGCAACCACGGGCTCGGGAGCACACGCTATATGCGAGCAAAGCAACGCCATCATCCAGCCTGCGCTCGCCAAGCCCACATGCATGGGCTTCGAGCCGACCCCTGAGCCGACACGGGCACGTGCTGGAGATACTGTGGGTTTCGGTCCAGCGAAACTGCAATAAAGTGCGTCAGACGAAATGTTTGGTTTCCCGGGACATAACAAAAGTTGTGTGTTGACGAAGTAGTCTACTAACCACACACCGATCGCGTGGTGTCCAGAAAAACAGTGCTCGTGCCTTCACTGAAACATACCGTATCGCTCAAAAAAAAAAAAAAAAAAAAAAAAAAAAAATGCTAACCATCCCCTGAGCTGTCGGTGAGTCCCCGCCACCGGGCAGAGATCACCTTAACGGACACGGTCATAACGAAAACGTGGGAAACACGGCGAGAATGACCAACCTGGGGCGCAGACACAGGAAGTGAGGGGATGTGGTTGTTAAAGTGGGGCCGGCAGCCTGGCAGGGCACTTTAGGTTTGTGCAACATGTGGTGTCTAGGAAGAACCATGGGGGGGGGGGGCGCCGGTGTCCCGCTGTCACGTCTGCCTTTCCCACGGAAAGGGGCGGCCCAGGGGCAGCACACCCCACCCCCTGGGGCAACATACTTAGTAAATTCTCCTGGCGGCTGGCCGCCTCCGGGAGTGAAAACCCCGAGGGTGTGCATGAGGCCGTGCTCCCCGTGAGGGGCAGGACAGCATTGCTCCACTTCCCCGGTACCCGGGGATCCAGCCGCGTGGACGCAACGTCACAAGTCCCGCGTTGCGCACACGACCTTGACGGTCCTGGCCCTTTCAGCTTCTCAGCCCGACAGTGAACCCCGATGGTGTGTGGGTGTTCCTCTCCCCTACGAAGGGCTCCCTGGGGTTCCTGTGTGTCTTGTGTTCCGGAGCATTCTGCCTCCGATGGAGGAGGACATTAGGCTTTCTCAGGGTAGTCTTGAAGACGACACTTTCCTCCGGGTTGGAGTGTGGTCTCTTCAGGCGCAAGGGGTCATTTTCCAGAACATCCGCTTGTGTTTTCGGTATGCGGATGCCATCATTCCAGGAGCGGCCCGAGGCCCAGGAACTGGAAGCTCGAAGCCCGCAGGGAATGGCGCCGGACGGACGTGATGCTGCGTCCTTGGAACGCCCCGTGGCCGTAGATCCTGGCCACGTCCGGCCCACGAGTACCTTCCGTTTGTGTCTGGAATGTTTGTGTCCGCCTCGTTCGTGGATTTCTCTTTCTGTCATTCAAGTGACGGACACATCTGGGCAACACGGTGTGGAGGGCCCGGTGTTGAAGGAGCAGGTTCCCTGGGTCACGGAGAGGTTTCTTCACCTGCTCGCTGGGCCGCACTTTATTGTTGCTTTATAACTTAAAATCCTGGGTCAAACCTTTCAGTTTTCTGGTATTTTAAGTCTCTTCATGTGGACATGAAGCAAAGGTTCTGTACTTTTTTCATTTTTTTTTTAATGTTTATTTATTTTTGAGAGAGAGAAGACAGAGTGTGAGCAGAGGAGGGGCAGAGAGAGGCGGGGGGGGGGGGGGGACACAACACACGAACCGAAGCGGGCTCCAGGCCCCGAGCTGTCAGAGCCCGACGTGGGGCTCGAACCCATGAACCGTGAGAGCATGACCCCAGCCAAAGTCAGCTGCTTAACCGACTGAGCCACCCAGGCGTCCCTATTTACTTTTAATTTAATTTAACTTCATTTAATTTTATTTTACTTCATTTTGTTATTTTTTATTTTATTTATTTTGTTCTACAGTCTTTTAAAAAATTTGTTTCTTTACATTTATTTATTTTTGAGAGACAGACAGAGAGAGAGAGACAGAGCGTGAGCAGGGGAGACGCAGAGAGAGAGGGAGACAGAATCTGAAGCGGGCTCCAGGCTCCGAGCCGTCAGCACAGAGCCCGACTTGGGGCTCGAACCCACGAACCGTGAGATCATGACCCCAGCCAAAGTCAGCTGCTTAACCGACTGAGCCACCCAGGCGTCCCTATTTAATTTTAATTTAATTTAACTTCATTTAATTTTATTTTACTTCATTTTGTTATTTTTTATTTTATTTATTTTGTTCTACAGTCTTTTAAAAAATTTGTTTCTTTACATTTATTTTTGAGAGAGAGAGAGCGTGAGTGGGGGAGAGGCAGAGAGAGAGGGAGACACAGAATCCCAAGCAGGCTCCAGGCTCCGAGAGCTGTCAGCACAGAACCTGATGAGGGGCTCCAACTCAGGAACCATGAGATCATGACCTGAGCCGAAGTCGGATGCTCAACAGACTAAGCCACCCAGGCGCCCCTCGTACTTTGTTTGTTTTTTTTTTTTTAAGATGTTATTTGGGGGCTCCTGGGTGGCTCAGTTAAGCATCAGACTTTTGATTTTGGCTCAGGTCATGATCCCAGGATTGTGGGACTGACCTTGTGTTGGTCTCTGCACGGAGAGTGGACCCTGCTTGAGATTCTCTCTCTGCCCCCTCCCTGGCTTGTGTTCTCCCTCTCTCTCTCTCCCTCTCTCCCAGAAAGAAATGAAGAAAGAGAGAGAGAGAAAAGAAAGAGAGAGAGAAAGAAAGAAGAAAGAGAAAGAAAGAAAGAAAGAAAGACAGAAGGCTGAAAGTAAATAGAAAATAAAACCCAAAGAAAGCTGGTGGGTCTCTATAAATAACAAAAGGGGCGCCTGGGTGGCTCAGTCGGTTAAGCATCCGACTTCAGCTCAGGTCACGATCTCGCAGTTCGTGGGTTCGAGCCCCGCATCGGGCTCTGTGCTGACAGCTCAGAGCCTGGAGCCTGTTTCAGATTCTGTGTCTCCCTCTCTCTCTGACCCTCCCCAATTCATGCTCTATCTCTGTCTCAAAAATAAATAAACGTTAAAAAAAATTTTTTTTTAAATAAAAATGCTTATTTATCCAAAGCAGGCTCCAGGCTCCGAGCTGTCAGCAGAGCTGACCTGGGGCTCGAACCCACAAGTCATGAGATCATGACCTGAGCCGAAGTCGGATACGTGACTGAGCCACGGAGCCGTCCCCCACCCATACCCAAAGATGAGTGTCTGAGCCTTGTGTATTTGAGGGACGCACTCTGTCAGAAGGATGTTGCTAGCAGGTGCTGTGGTGGCTGCGTGTGTGGACCACGAGCCCACGGGAAAGGAGGCTGTGTGGTTCGGGTGTGTGCACTGCCCTGTGGCTGCTGAATAAACGTCGGCGGAGTGAAGTACCATCAGGTGACGGTGTCTCTGGGTCACTCAAACCCGTACTTGGCCCTTCCCGTCAGAATCGGGGTGTGGGCACCTCGGGGGTCGGCCGTGCCCGGGCCCCCTTCTTGAGGTGACCGCCTGCCTCCCAGCACATGGGCGTGTTCTCAGGGCCCGGCTGCTCGCGGCACAGTGGACCGGGCCTTGGGAGGGAAGAGGCCCATCCATGGACAGAGGGGTCCTGGGGAAGCCTGGGTGCTCGTGAGGCAGGGGAAGCGGTCTTGTACCTGGTCCCCTCGGTGGGAAGACCGATGCCCTCTGTCCGGGGTCCCTCCCACCCATGTCCCTGATCTTCCCTCCTGGGCCCCCGAGCCACCCCCCCCAACCCTCTCTCACAGGCCCCCCTGAGCGCCAGCCACCTCCTCATCGTGCTTGTAAGCACGCAGTTGGGCGTCAGGACGCTGTGGCTCTGGGCCTTGGGGTGGGGCCTCTGGGACACTGGGGTGTGGACACTGGGGTGGGTGGCTGTGAGGAGGAGAGTGAGGGACCAGAGGTCTGACCCACCCGCACCCCCTCCTTGTGTCTCCTGCACGGGGAGGTGCTGCGGTGGTGAGAACAGAGTCGGGGGCTGGAAGGGGGCGGCCCTGGTGTGGGTCCCAGGCAGAGAGCCAGGCTGCGGGGCCTCAGGGAAGAGTGGGCACACACCGGGGGCGGGCAGACCGGGCGGGACCTTGGGGGCTGGGGCGGCCCGCGCAGCACACTCCCCTGCCCACTGCGGTCTCTTCGGGGTTGGCCAGTCTCCTGGCTTCAGGCTGGGCTGGGCTGCTCTGTCCACACCTCTGCCCCGTCCCCTTGTTTCTCCTTGACCTGTGTGTGCCTGCAGGGGCCTCAGGGTCGTCGGGAGACAGTCCTCGTTGCCGGGACACTGCGGTGGGGAACAGGGAGGTCTGGCAGCCCTGAGTTTCTGGGGACCAGCACCCGGGAAGCCCCAAGTGGCTCCTCCCACCCCCGCCACACTGGCAGGACCGTGTGCTTGGCAGCCGGCCCTCGGAAGACTCAGCAAGGCTGGTTTACAGACACAAGAGCAGAGCTTTTAATATCCTGTAGCTGGAACAGCGTGGAAGGCAACCCATGCTCAGGTCACAAGCACGTCCCCGCGGAGTCACCCTGAGACCTGACCTTTGACTTCTGGCCGCAGGGGGGCGGCCACCAGCCTTTCGGGCCCAGCAGGGAGCAAGGCGCCCGAGGGGGCGGGCAGGACGCCCCGCGGCGGTGCTGAGGCCACACAGCCTCCGCTCCCTCACTGGCTGGCTGACTCCGGGAAGAGCTTCTGGAACTTGCTGTAGGCAGAGCTGCTGATGACGACCCTGACGTCGGCCGCCCCGGCCTCGGGGATCACGTCCACGTCCTGCACCGTCGCCTCCTGGTGCAGCCAGCTGAGGAAGTGAGCAAGGGACACGTTCTCTGAGGCGGGCGAGGACCCCAAAGGGCTATGTTCCCAGGAACTGGTCCCAGGCAGAGCGCCGTCCCACAGAACGCTACCCCTGGAGCCCCGTCCCCTGTCCCCGAAGAGTCCCGTCCCCACAGAGCCCTGTCCCCCAACCGCACACCGCCTTGCTGTCACTGGTGGGGGACCTACCGGCAACGAAGTCCCCCGCCCAGCCGCATGCCTGTCAGCTCAAGGAGGCCGCTTGCCCCGCAGGCCAAGTCATTAACCCAGATTCGCTGCAGGCGCGTCAGACACCCCGCACCTGCCCCGCGTGCTGGTGCTCTGCCCGGCCTTTCCTACACCTGCTTGGCCAGCCCCACGCACCTCAGCTGTGCCCCCGCCAGCCGGACTCGGAGCGTGAGGACCTGTCTCCCTGTGGCTCTCAGGACGGCGTCCTCCAGCCGGGCCCTCAGCTCCGGGAGCCCGTGTCCCAGGAGGGCGGACACGGCCACGGCCTGGGATCCTGCCGGGCTGTACCTGCGTCGGGGCGGCGGGCAGACCCCACTCAGCCCGGGGAACACCGAGCGGGGGTCCCCGAGAAGCACGCCCGCCCACGGGGCCTGAACTGTGACTGTGTCAGACGGTCCCAGGAGAGGACGCGGCCCCGCTGGACAGGGACACAGGGACGGAGAAAACCATAAGGCTGCGGTGACACGGGGGGGGCGGTGCTGTGGGGGTAAGGGGTTCAGAACATGCAACCCCAGAACAGGGCTGCGGTGACACATCCGGGACAAGGGCGCTGGGACCGCCCCTTTCCCTCCCGGGACCAGCAGGGGGCGCTCCGCGGAAAGCCGCGGGGCAGGCGGCGAGGGGCGGCCACAGGTCAGGTCACCGGGCCGCCGCGTCACCAGTACGTGCGTGCGGGAATGAGGTCCGGGGGGAGGGGGGCAGGCCGGGGTCCACTCACCCGGGCACCAGGTCGACCTTGTTATGAACTTCCAGCACGGAGTCCAGCAGCGGGGCGGGCAGGCGCAGGCCCCGCAGGGCGGCCAGGACGGTGGCTTTCTGCAGCTCCGTGTCGGGGTGGCTCACGTCTCTCACGTGCACGACCAGATCCTGGGGAGCAGACGGGCCCCGTGCTGGGGACGGGGTTCCGGGGGGCACACCGGAGGACCCGCGCCGGCCGGGGGCTCTCACGGGCACCGCACGGTGGGGTGGGAGCGGGAGCCGGCCCGGCCCCCTGGCGGCCCCCTGCCCCGGTCGCGGTGGGAGGCTCCCCGAGACCAGAGCTGGCCCGGGGCCCACCCAGTGCCCCCTGCTCGGGGGTCCAGCCCGGGCCAGGCCGCCGCCCTCCACGTGGCCGGGGGCCCCGGGCGGCTCCCGCGCCAAAGGCAGCAGGCACGCACCTTCGGGCTCAGGTAGGCCCCCCCCGAACCCCACCGGGTGCCTTGTTCATCATCCGCCGAACCCTGAGTCCGCATGACTCCAAATTTTAAAGGACGCCTCTTCCTACGTTTCAGTATCTTTACAGGTAGGTGACCCATGCACAATTGGGAAAACGCGGGCATCTGACTGGTGCAGCGCTTTCGGCTGGGGTCATGACCTCACGGTTGGTGGGTTCAAGCCCCACCTCGGGCTCGGGCCCACAGCCTGGAGCCCGCTTGGGATCCTCTCTCTCCCTCTCTCCCAAGATATACGAAAAAGAATTTGGAAAATGCAGCAAGAAGAAAGAGCTGCCTGTAATTCTGCCCCTGGGAACAGGCACCGCCCACATTCCAGAATGTTCACTTCCGGGTTTTAGATGCGCTTAAAATTAAAAAAAAAAAAAAGTTTTACTTCAGAAACGTTCCAGATTTTCTGGAAATATGGCAGAGGGGGCACGTGGCCCTCACCTTGCTGCCGCAGCCAACGTTAGTCATGGCGTGTGCCACAAGGCGGGGGTGACCCCGGGGCGCACTTGTGACGACCCTCCAGGCTCTGTCCCGAGTCAGTGGCCTCTCCTTTTCCGTCCTGGACACCACCCAGGACACTTGTCACATTGCCGGTCACCTGTCCTTGGCCCCTCTGAGCCCCGACCACGTTGAACACCGCGCGGGCATTTTGCGGGACGCCCTGTAGCTGAGGTCGGCCTGGTTCATTCTCCTGTTTACGCCACGGTTCGGGGTTTGGGGGCAAGACCACAGAGAGCGTGCCCTGAGTCCCCGCGGCCACAGCTGTGCACACAGGTGACCTGAGGGCTGAGGGACAGGCTCCTGGTCGCCCTGGACAGCGGTTCCACCTCCTTCTGTGAATTTGTCTTCAAAGGGGTCGCCCGACAGGGCTCAGTCTCAGGGTGGCTTAGGCGCCACCTTCCTGAGGGGGTGTGTGTCCGGAGACCTGGCCCCCAGGTTGTGTCATGTGAGGGGACCCGGTCCCCGGGTTGTGTTGTAAGGGGACCCGGCCCCCACGCTGTGTCATGTGTGAGGGAACCCGGCCCCCATGCTGTGTTGTGTGTGAGGGGACCCGGTCCCCAAGGCTGTGTCGTGTGTGAGGGGACCTGGCCCCGGGTTGTGTCGTGTGTGAGGGGACCCGGCCCCCTGGGTTGTGTCGTGTGTGAGGCGACCCGGGCCCCATGCTGTGTCGTGTGAGGGGAATCGGTCCCCAAGGCTGTGTCGTGTGAGGGGACCCGGTCCCAAGGTGGTGTCACACGTGAGTGGATCTGGCCCCCAAGCTGTGTCACATTTGAGGGATTTCGCCCCCACTTTGTATTGTGCAAGAGAGAATCCTGCCCCCAAGTTGTGTCATGTATGAGGGGACCTGCTACCCAGGGTTATGTCGTGTGTGAAGGTCCCAGATCCCTATGTTGTGTCACGTGTGAGGGGACCCGGTCCCCAAGGTTGTGTCACGTGAGGGGACCGGGCCCCAGGTTACACAGCTGTTTTAGGTAATTTGGCCCCTGGGATCATCCCACACTCACTGAATGAGCCACGTCTTCCAGGGTGGCGGAGAAGGACTCGATCAGGCTGTGGGGCAGCTGGGAGAGGAAGCCGACGGTGTCCATGTAGATGACGGCCACGCGGGAGGGCAGCCACCCCGCGTGGGCCGTGACGTCCAGTGTCGCAAACAGCCGATCCTGGGGCCGGACGGCGTCGTCACCCGTCAGGGCCTTGATCAGCGTGGTTTTTCCTGGAAGGTGGGTCACAGGGGACGCGCTGTGTGAGAGGCCCCCTCACCACACGTGTCCCACCTCGGCAGCAGTCGAACCCACGAGCATCCGGCCGAGGCGGCGGCCATGCGTTGTGAGGTCTCTGAGCTCCTAGTCTCCGCCCTGTGTGGTCAGAGAACCTGCCATTCTCGGTCACGCTTGCGGCCCAGAGGGCCAGGGCCCAGGGTACGAGTGCCCGTATGCAGGACGGCGGTGGTGCGGACGGGGTGGTGACGGCCGAGGGGGTGAGGGCACCCGTGCACACCAGGATAGTACAGACCCGGCGGTCACGTTTGTGCACGTGTGGGGGACACGTGATTGGCATCTACTTAGACGAGGCAGGTTCTCCGCGTGTCTGAGATGCAGTAGGTATCTGCGTGGCGGAAAGGTGATGGTGTAGACAGGGGCCGTGGTGCCTACGGGGCATGTGTGTTGTCTGTGAGGTGGGCTGGGTGCCTGTGTAGACAGAGTACTGGTGGTGGAGTTGAGGTATGCGTATAAGGCGGACCGGATGTCGGTGGAGACGGAGTGATGATGGAGTGGGGCGGGTACAGTGTGTGTGACGTAGGCTGGGCGTCTGTGTAGACGGGGTGGTGGTGAAATTGGTGTGTGTGGGGGGGGGGTGGACGGGGGTGCCAGCGTTAATGGAGTGTGGCGGTGTAGACAGGCAGGAGCTGTATGTGTCTGCAATGGCCCCAGAGGACGTCCCCTCCACTCAGCCTTCCTGCAAGAATGCGCCCGTGTGTGCGCCTGGCCCCCGTGTTCGGGGCCACGCCAGCTCGTGGCCACTGGCTTCAGCCCGCCCCACAGGTGAATGAGGAGACGACCCGGTAGGGCGGCCCCACCTGGACACACAGGTGCCCTCACCACACAGGTCCCGGGGCACGGACTCCTCTGGGCTGGTGAGCCACGGGCCGCGGGCGTAACCTAGCAGTACTGAGTTCGGTAGCCTCGGCGGAGCTCCAGAAGCTCGGTGCTGACGCCGCCGTGCGGGCGCACTCGCCGTTTCCCACAGGGTGAGAGCCTGTATCTGCCCAAGCGGGATTCTCTGCAGCTGCGGTGCCCCCGCACTTTGTGTTCCAGGTTTTGTGGGAAGTTCCCTCCCTCCTTGAGGACAGGGAGCCGGTGGCGTGAGGCTGGTGGGGACCTCACGCTGGCAGGGGAGTGGACCTCGCGCGGCCCGGCACCCGCTGGCGGACCGGACCCCGACGGTGAGGAAGTCGCACCTGCCGTTGTCTCCCTTTACCGAGCACAGCCGTGAGCTCAGGGCTTCGGGACGAAGGAGACCCGAGGTTCCGTGTCCTGCAGACGATCGCGCTGAGCGCACACGTTAAGCTAAACCACGAGCCCTGTGGTGAGGTCCTACTGCGCAGTCTGAACCGCTTTTATCCTTCTAGGGGCCTGCCCACCATGAATGGTCTTAACACCGTCACCCTTCTGTCTCTCTCTGAGTCTCAACACACCTGTAAGAGAGGGGAGTGCAGTCCGCTGTCCAGCACTCGATGACCACGCCGCTGACCTGACGGGGCACCCGCCGTGGGCCCTGCAAATGCCCCGGGGACACGAGCCACGCTTTCCACCTGTTCTCATCATCCGCCGGCCCTCTGAATCCCAGGGCCTTGTTGCGTTGGCGAGCGGTGTCTCCCCACATGCACTAGCAGGGTGGTGGGGGGACGGTGGACCCCCCCAGGAGCCCCCAGAACTTCTCTCACCGCAGTTTGTGTATCCCACCATGGAGACCACGGGAAACTCCCGCCGTCTGCGCTGCCTTCCCAGGAGACGCCTTTTCTCCCGAAGTCTGTCCAGGGCCTTACGAATCTTCAGCTCCTTGTCCTTCAGCAGGCGCCGTTGCACCTGCACGAGCGATTCTCCTACAAACACCCAACACGGCGAGTCGGCGAGCACACTCACAAAGACGTGAGAGCAGAGTGAGCCACGCGGGTCCCTGTGTGCGTTGTGGACAGGCATTCTGCCGCTGGGCCCCGCCCCCCGCCCCGCCGGTCTGCTCCTCTATACTGCCCCAGCACCTTCCTGTCTGACAGATGGCTTCACCCAGTGGAGGGTGGCCTCGCCTCCGGACTTCCGCCCTCTGAGGTCACCTGGGCTCCCCTTTATTTGGCAGTAAGGGAGAGCCTCAGAAGGACAGCCCCCATGACATCCAGAGCCACCTGAGCGGTGCCCCAAAGACACATCTACATCCTGACGCCTGGGACCTGTGAACGGTAACTCATTTCGGAATATGGTCTGGGCGCATATAACTGGTGAGGGATCTGAGGGGTCATCCCGGGTCAGCGTGGCCCTAAATCCAAAGACAAATGTCTGCGTAACAGAAGAGAAGACAGAGGAGAAGCCGTGTGAAGATGTGAAGACCCATGTGGGAGGGACGCAGCCACGAGCCCAGGGACGCCTGGAGCCCCAGAAGCTGCAAGAGGCAGGAAGGACCCTCCCCTGGAGCCTCTGGAGGGAGCACAGCCCTGCCCACTTGGATCTCAGTGGCCCGGGGGGGGGGGGGGGGGGGGGGGGGGGGGGGGGGGGGG